ATAGTTCTGCCTCTCTTGCCGACTATTTCGACAACACGGAACATCTTGCACAGCTGGCGATCTAAATCACTCAACAGGCATTCCCCCTCCAGGTTTGATGTGCTGTGCTGGTGGAAATCTTCAAGTTTCATTTTTGAAACCTCCCCCTGCCTTCTTCGGTTGAACATGATGAGGTGACACAGAGTGACTTCATTCAATCTCTGTCAAGCTGGTCTGATTTCTTTGCTCCGAGCACCCTGAAGGAGTTGAAGTTCCCGGTTGTCAGCTTCATGAAGGAACGACGACAGGTGAACTACATCGGCATATGTCGGGAGAATGGTGACTTTGTTGCGTTTTCCTTGGTACAGCGTTTTGTGTGCGTGTGTGGACACAAGGTCTTGCCAGTTCAATTCACACAACTGCAGAAACTCTTCCACACGCTCCGCTTTGTGTTTTTGGCCGGACTCTAGCTCACTTCCTTTCAAGACAAGTGCACACTTCTTGACGGAATAACTAATCTTCAGCGCTAGTGACGGAACATCGTACAACCGGCAATATCGTGGACGGCCTTCACAATATCAGAAAGGTGGTGCGGATGGACAAATGATTCGAGTGATGCATTTGGTTGCTGGGTGTTCTTTCGGAGTTGTATGACGAGTCGACCCAATTCACGCACCCTGTTACGGATGTAGCCATGCTGATCTACATCGTGCCCTAGTTTCATGTATTCATGCTTGGCCAATTCAACAATCAACGTGTCATTCTTGACTACCAAAGCCACATCATCTCTCTTCATTGGACTAAGAACCTGGTGTAACTGGAACGACACGCCAACAGGAGGAGGTTTCAACAAATCACTCTTGTGAGCGACCCGTACACCCACACGAGCCCTCTTACCGGTGCTGTCGGTCTGTGGAGTGGGTGCTGGCTTCAAAGGGCACACGCATCGCCACAAATCGGTACGCACATAATAGCCGTAACAATATACGCATGGTCCATATGCATGGGAAGATACCTTGCGATTGGCCTGTACCCGACAATGAGTACACCACGACCTTCACGAAGAACCTGACAATTGTGCCTGTGATTACCTATATTGCGAATTTTCAACAGAAGTTTCTTACGCACACCAGCGTTGGGTTCACCGGCGATCTCGATGA